TTGCGTTTTCAGTGAATTATTCATTCCAGTATGTTTGGCTTTAAAACACGATCTCTGTCATATTCTGTGATTGTCACAGACTGAACGGATTGTCAACACATCCCACCGCTGTATGGCCAGATGAGACGCAAACTACGGTTTCTCGACTAGTAAAACTACGGTTTCTCGCTAGTAAAGTTTTGATGGATGAAGACTGCAATCAAGGTAAAGACGATTGCGGTAGCGTACAGGAGTCGTACAGTAAGCACGCGTGAATCCGTTATAATAATGCGTGTTTGAGTGCTCTTGACGCACTGATCGCACATTGTATTTATGCACAGGCACAGACATTTCCGTACATTCACGTTGTTTCCACACACATTCACGATACGATGTTTTGATTTGTCATGTTTATGTTGCTGTGTGTATTTATACGGAATGGATCCGTTTACTGTAGTAGATATATGCAGTCTGCAGGCAGTTGGTTTAGTTTTTTTTTTGGGCATCTCCAGGTAGTCCTGTTCGGTATCACAACTTGACTTCTCTAAAATGTAAAAAATCTCTTTGCTCTTGCACTGTACACATACTATAAAATTCTGATTTATTTTTATTTTTTTCTTCTTCATATGTGATTATATGGACTCCATATATAATTTGGTTCTTTCGTGTCCTTTTGGAGTTTCTAAATGCCCTTTTTTGGAAAGACATCTAAATTTATCTTGAAAAAAGCTTGCAGAAAATACAGATTTTTGAGAATCACCCTTCAATATTTTGGTTTACTTTGCTGGATATAGCAAATGATGACAAAATAAACATTTGAAACAAGATAAATGGTCTATGCTTAATTTCATGAAGTGTGCGATTAAATCTCTCACTGCTCTTGACTAAATCACTTTTGTAACTTTAATAAGAAGAAATATATATTTAATTTAGACAGTGAACAATATGCAGTGTTTTATACATTTAATTACTTTATACCATGTATGTAGCTTTTCTTATTTATTTGTTCTACTGTAGTGTATTTTTTGTCCTATTGCTTGTAATTAGTTTATTTTTCTTATTTAATCGCTGACTGTTTACTTGTCTTCAGTGAGCTTGAGTTTGTTTTGTTTTTTTATGTTTTGTGATATTGACACTGGTGACAAGAATTATTACATTTCTATGGTATCAAAAATTTAGATATCATAAAGACCTTATTTAAAGGGGTCCTATTATGCTTTTTCACTTTTTGAATTATAGTCAGTGCGTAGTGTGTATGTTTGGGCATAAAAAAGATCTACAAAGTTACAAATCTCAAAAATTTATCTTGAAAAAAGCTTGCAGAAAATATAGATTTTTGAGAACTACCCTTGAATCTTTTGGTTTACTCTTTTCCAAACCGCGGTATACCTTGAAACCGGTTATCGTCCCATGCCTAGTGCAGTGTGTGTTTGGGCATAAAAAAGATCTACAAAGTTACAAATCTCAAAG